CAGGAATTCAGTGGGGGTGGATATGTCAGTCAGGTTCCCAACAAAGATGGGCCTTCTAGTACATCCCTTGTGCATTCCACCGAAGGCCTTTTTTTTAATTTTTTCTTCTTCTTTTTTTTCCTACCCACCTAATGCTAAGAGATGCAGAAGAGAAAAAGAGAGGAGAGAGGCAGACGTGTCAGTCAGAAAGAAGAAGAAGAAGAAAAGAAGGCTTAAAAAACTACAGAATAGCGAAAGATGAGATCGAACTATACACTGGTATTTCCTTTGTCTGTGAAGAGACAGAGGAAGAGAAAGCGTACAAGTAGCGCTTCTTCTCTCTGTTCACGGTACTCACCGCCGAGCGCTAACCCTCCCAGAGAAGAACCATTGTTTGCGAAACTCACCAGTTCCTCGTCAGTGTCGTCACCCTTAGACACCGCAGCTTCCCGGTTCCTTCCCCTCCTCCCTTGAACATCACCGCTCTTCTTCTCCGCTCCCGGATGAAAACCATTGCCAGCTTTCTATACAGAAAAGACAATTCTGTCTTTTTGCAGGAAAGAAAGAGAGAAGGTTAACCGACTCCCCAATTTTCACTCCCCATTTATAAGAAAACCAAAGGGCCATTTTAACCATATTTCACACCAATCTGTAGAGTACACGAAAGAAAGTGCAGCATGCTAACCACTCTGTTGGATCACTGCATGTGAATACAGAAAGACGGTCATGTGCAAACTCAAGCCAACTGCAAAAGACGACGACAACCCTATTACGCCACCGATCGGTGCGTTTGATACCGACCAATAGCACTAGAGAAGCATTAATCAGCGTAATATAGCGACCAATAGCACTATAGAACAACTAATTAGCATATACGTATGGGTTTCACAACCTCAACCAGTATCTGGAGTATCACGGGTTATGTGGATCGCTATTTGGGAACCCTTAGCGGCAACGAACATCTAATTTCCATAGCCATTATTTGCTCCACGCCCCTGGGGTGAACGAGCTTGACCTCATTGAGCCTTGTAGAAATTCAGCACCAGCAACTCTTCTCCCATTAATTAGGTGAGAAAGCAGGGATTTGCAGGAGAGAGGTCTCTCTCTGTAGCAAAGAGGTGAGTGTAGTACTGCCGTAGACCTGCTGCCATTTGAAAAATCCAACTAGTGGTCCATAGTATTATCACAACAGACGGGAACAAAAGGGAAATGGCGAGGTGGGATAGTTGTTACAAAAAGTGAAAAGGCATTCATTTATACAACGGGCTGGAATTTTGCGCCAGCATGCAATTCAAACTCAGAATCACTAAAAAGCCTTCACCTGGTATCTCATTGAATGAAGAAAAGAACACTGAAGCGGCCAACAAATTGAAATGCGAGGCATGGGAAGTAAAAGAGGGGTTCTCACCTAGGATGCTCTCTGATAATACCAAAATTGAGTATGTTCAGAGGCCTCTCTCTCTCTCTCTTGCCCCCACTTTGCATGTGCATTTTTGTGGGTCTCTCTCTCTCTCTCTCTCGCCCCTACTTTGCATGTGCATGTTTGTGGGTCTCTCTCTCTCTCTCTTACACTCCCTTCCACTTTCCCTCTCTCTCTCGTTTCTTTTATCTCCCTCTTCTATGTGCATGTGTGTTTGTGCAGGTGTCTACCTCTGTCAACCTAAGCTCTTTCCCGTAGCCTGCATATGAACCATTGCAACCTACTACTAGGTGTGAGGAATCACGTCCTTCCCTCCTTTAGGTTGGCACTCATTCCCTCAACTCACTCAATTCAAAAAGGCTTGGACTTCCAAACTTCCAAAGTCTAAGGACACACTCGAATCAGAAAAGTTATAACTTCAAAGATTACGAGAAGAGGAGAGGCTGGGTGAGCAAGCTGAGAGAGAAAAGGGAAAAAAGTAAAAACTGCAACCATTGTGCAGCTGATGAGACGTGAGGTGTCACTGACACGAGCTCTGTGTCCCTTTCCTCTTCCAGAAGAACATGTCTGTCATGAAAACCCATGCTGCATCTTTTCATGGTCGCGGTGATGATGATGTCGACGACAATGTAAATCTTCAACAATACTGACAACTGTAGCAATGATGATGATCCCGATGATGCCCTCCAGAGCTGCCCGCATTCATCGAGGACATACATGTATAAAGTCCATTGGAAAAATTTCTTGTCCGTGCCCATGCTGCACATAGAAAGAATGATTGATGATGGCACCGCAGCATCCATGACTCTCCTCCTCCTCCTCCTCCTCCTCCTCTACCAGTATGGCATTGCATCCTTGGCATCACTTTACAAAATAAGTGATTTGAAATTTTCTTAAGCATTCCCGATCGCTAAACCACCACTATCTCCTGAAAGTCGGGCAAAGCGCTCCAGACAGAGGGAAAAAAAACTGCGGCCACTGGATTGGCGATGGATCGACTGAAAAGGGTAGGCCTCATGGTAACAGGGGAGCTCATAAAAAGTAGAGGTGCTTTATGTTGTTCTCAGGGGAGGGGAGATGAGGATAACCCCATCTCCACGTACGAATAAAAACGGCACATTTCTCTTCGTTGTCTACAACAAGTAAACATCATCAGACAGAAGTCGCAAGCAAACAAAACAGAATGCATAAGTATAGTGAAAACAGGCAGAAGACATCATGCCACTGCAGTCCTTGTTCTCATTTCTTCCCATCTCTCTCTCTCTCTCTCTCTCTCTCTCTCTCTCTCTCTCTCTCTCTCTCTCTCTCTCCATTTCTCTCTTCCTATGCGGCCCCCCCCCCCCCCCCCCCCTCCCCGTGCACACACACATAATAAACAAAGCTACACACACACACACACACACACAAAGGTGCTCTTAGTTAGTACTCTGTGACAAATACTACAACATCACAAGTGGGCATATTGTGGAGATCAAGACATGGCGAGTGCAAGCTGGGCAGACATTTGAACTGCAGAGGCAGATACTTGTTGGTACGGTGTGTTCAATTGCCTGTAGACATACAAGAGACAAGGGCGGCAGGGTGTGGACAGAGGGAGATAGTCTAAGGGAGACCACGAGAGTGGTACAAACGTACAGACTAATGTAATCTTCACGTAAGACAATATATAAACCACACACATTTCATGTGCGTCGGTTCACTCTGACCATTTCACAGCCCAGAAATATAAACCCTTATGGTAGTGCAAACCCCCATACAAAGCCACTGGAGATTTACCTCGGGTAGCATAGACTTCCACGATGTTTTGCACCCATGGGAAACACTGGAGTCGTGGTGTGGACTGAAAGAACAGACTAGAGAAAGGTAGTGGGAATGCCACAATATTTGGAATGCGACCAACTGTGCCATGAGGATGCATCACAGACCACACCACGCTGCACTCACACATTTGCACATGACACTGCAAATGTGCGTTTTGTGAACTCGAAAGGAGGACGACAACAATCATGAAGAGGCACCATGGGCCCACTCGAATCCATCAGCTTGTGATCAGAGGAGGACAATGGAACGGTGGCAGAGAACGGAGCTTGGGAAAAGGACAAACAGAAAAAGAAGACTAGAAAGCAGAGGGGACAGCACACGAGGAGATGATGTCACGAAGTTGCTAAACACTGCAGGCAACAGTTACTAGGAATTAAATCACATCGTACTTACCCGTACTATCTCTTCATACGTTTCATCATCAATCTCTACACTCGTCACGACCTCCTCAACATCTCCCAAAATCATATTCAGGTGCTGATCATAAGCCTGCACTCAAGAAAGCAACATAAACAACGCAAAGGAACACCAGAAACTGAGTCTAATTAGATCCACTCCTTGCCTTGCACCTGCATGCCACTGATATTGACCACAAGCTCATCACTACCGTAATGATTAGGCATGCGCACAGTCCAGCACAAAGCCGCCAGCCACCAACAGAACAAAGCAGGCAAATCCTCTGCATGCACTCGCACACACACATGGCGGGAGGGGGAGAGACTGAGTGTGTGTGTGTGTGTGTGTGTGTGTGTGTGTGTGTGTGTGTGTGTGTGTGTGTGTGCGCGTGTGTTGTCGTATTTGCTATGGACTC